CATGCGTCGAGGTGAGGCCGACTATTTCTAGCCGGAACCTCTCAGCCTCGCACACTAGCTCCGGTTCCTTCCCCACCGAGGCGAGGCTTAACAGACTTAGTAATTATAAATATCTTAAAACACTTTGAATTAAGTTCAACAAGACTAATAAATTAAATACCTACATAGGTGATCTGGATCATGTCATTACTGCCAACAATCTTGCATTTTGATTTTATTTGAAGAATTTCTTTGCAATCACAGTGTGAGTTTGTACAATTTTCATAATTTAACTATTTTTAGGGTAACTGCTTGAGCAGGATATGCAATAAGCTCTCACTATCTTAGTTCATTCAAATTGTTTAAGCAAAAACTGAACTTTTAGATATAATTTCAAATATAATATGTAAATAAGTATATTTTATTACAGTTACTGTATCCAATATTACAGTAAAATAAAATGTATTTAACACTTACAGTATCTAATCTGCTTATTAAGATTCCCAACCTGGGAACATTCAAAAAGAAAATCAACCAAATAGCAAACCAACCTTTATTTAAAATGTACTTCTTATAGACAATAAGAACAATGCTTTACATAAATAACATAAACAGAACCTAAGCAAGCTAAGACAAAACAAAGAAACAACCAAGAAACAACTAAACTAAACAAGGATGCACATGGAATGTAAATTAAAAATAAACAGAAGTTATAATAGGTGACCTTGGTTTGAAGGACTTTTCTTAATGAGAATAAAAATTAACAAGACTTAGCAATAACTTTGATTTACCATTTCAATAATGGCTGTTGGTCATGAGATAATTAATAGCACTAAGACTGGAGCTTATGAGACTGTGCTAAAATTTTCAGGTTCAAACTAAACTAGAACATTTTAATGAAGGTTACACACACCGTGATGGACTGGTGACCCATCCAGCCCATTGACAGCCGGAGATAGGCACCAGCACCCCTCCTGACCCCAGTGGGAAAAGTGCGTAAGAAGATGGATGGATGGATGGATGGATGGATGGATGGATGGATGGATGGAACACACAATTGGAAAGCAAGAGAAGATTCTTGCATCAGTAGGTTTTCTAGAAAACCTACTGATGCTTCTTCTAGAGTAGTTGAATATCATCTGCAGAGAAATGATGTGTGATTCTGAAACAAACAGACAATAGGAAATTTGCAGATACTAGAGGATCAGAAGATCTGCATGTAACAGTTCTTTGAACCCTTTTACAGATTTGCAGGTGAATTGATTAATTTAGTCTTCTTCAGGTCTGACAGTGCTACAGAGGATCCTTGATACAGCAGCAGAGCGCAGTTGGCAGGTTACCTCCGCTAATTTGGACACAATGACGGAAAAGACCTTCATCAAACTCCTGGCTGATCTTGACTACAAGGAGGACTTTCATATCATCATTGACTGTGAACTGGAACGATTGAACAACATCCTCAACCTGGTAAAAGGCTCACTGATTAACACATTTTTTCCCCATCAGATTAAAACTAAAAACAAGTATTTGTCAATGTAATTTTCCTGTACGTTAAAAGTTTTGCTCTGTGGGGGTTAAACCAACCATTGGTTTACTTGTGGCTCCATGTAATTTCAGGTTTGAACCCTTTATGTGATTGTTGTTAACTGAGAAAGTTTGGAATAAACCTTTGTAATGTCATGTTAAGGTACTTCTTCATTTATTAGAAGTTAGCTACAGATTATATTCAGACCTTAGCATCCATGAATGATACGTGGGAAAGGACAATAAAACAGCTCCTAGAGAAGCAAACAGAGTGCAAAGAGCTGGTAGAACAATCTCTGCCATCACGCAAAATTAAAATGCATAATTTTCTTAAACAATTTCTTCCAAAAAGCACTTTGTCTAGAGTATGTGGTGAAGTGCATGAATTCATGGAAAATCAATGGTTTCATTGGCTAAAAACCAAAACAGCATATGTTGAATCACATTGAAAACAGAGAGACTCAGTTGAGAACATGACTGCCATTATAGAAAAACTTGCAACACAGTTCACTCTATTTAAGTTCATCTCTTGCTGCTTCAACAAAGGTTAACAGTGAAAGTAGCAACCAGGTTCTGCTAATTAAATGTACTTGATTAATTTATTGTCATCAGTGTGACCTCCTATATTAGAACAGTTTGCCGTTCTGGAACTTGTGTATTAACACATTCTGAGGACATAAACAATGACCTTGGAAAAGCAGTTTCTATTACACATTAATCTGGAAAATATTCCAAACAAAAATGTTTCAATTGCCAATGTTTCCAGTGCTCCCAGCAAATTCACTGTGAATTAAGAAGATGCTAATATCAGATTAATAATATTTTACTAATCATGAAATTTAAATTACAAAAATAAATTAACTGAAAGAAAACGCGCCAATTTAGAGAAAAAATGTTTTTTTTTTTATTAAAAAAAGTATTTGTGTTGATTTGAGGGGGGTTTTTTTTGGAAACACCTTGTTCAAATCCCATGAGTCACATGATCAACAGCTGGATGTTAACTTCTGACATAAACCATGAAGAAACACAGCAGTAAGTGGTAGGAGGATGATGGTTTGTTTTGGGGGTTTTTGGACAATGAACAACTGGCTCCACCAGAGATCTCAGAGCATCACACAGTTCATAAAAAATGATCTGTCATTCGAAAGTGTTGAATCCATAGCTCTTCTGTCAAATCGCCTGCTACAATTTTCCTCAAAACACTGTATAGATAGTTGCTCCCAGATGTAAGAGGCTTGTCCCTCCCGGTCCTGAATAAGATGCCGACGGCTGTTCTGATAACTGATAGATGATGGAGTGCCATGGCTGAATTATGACTAAATCTCATGTAATAGTTTACATCTGTCTGTGCCATGATTTTTAATGACTTATCATGTGAACTAGACTATTCACATGTGGTTTTAATTAAATTTTTTATTTATTGGACACACTGCAATTGAAAATTGTGTTGTTTTGTTTTTTTTTTTTTGTTTTGTTTTTTTTTTTGCATTAGCAGAACAGCGACAAAGAACACATTTGTCATGGAAAAGCAGCTTATAGTTTCAACCAATGACTGCCGGAGATAGGGAAGAACCTGCAAGAACAGGCGGGTAAAGACTATGGCTGGATGGATAGTTTGTAATTGGCTCACTGTTTTAGAATCGCCAAAGTGAAAAGATAAATGTAAATATATTCTAACAGATCGATGCAGCAATGATCTGCTGACCCCGATACAAATCCAGGATGAGAGGAGGCGTTAATACGCAGCAGTCCATGCTGTAATAACCAGATGGCAGACAAAGATTAATTAGGCATCAAATTAAATGATTTTTTTAAAAGACTGATAAACCAGAACAGGGCTGAAAAACAAGAGCGAGCTTTCTGCTGCATTGTCACTATGTGGTAAAAACTGACCACTTCTTCTTTATTTTAGCCTCAAAGCTAAAATACTGGAGTCTGTTCATCCTCCTTTCTTCCTTTGGAGAGCAGCTGTTGTCTGCCAGCTGCTAAGAGCCCATTAGTGCTGGTGTCAGTTTGACAGTACTGTCCAAACAAGCAACCGCTTTCTGAAACTACACCACAACACAGTAAATAAAGCTGGCTGGAAAGGAACAATATTTCCTTTCAGATTAGGCAAGTGGAGCTGATGTTTACTTTAAAATGATTCCGCGCTGTAGACAGTTGCTTAAGAAATGAGTGAGCACATCTCTGCTGAACTAGAAACTAAACCCAGAAAGATCTCAGAGAGAGAGCTGCAAGACAAACAAATCCACTCGATCCTGATGTTCACAGCTGGTCGTCTTTGTGCTTTTTTAAGAGGGAGTGTGGACACTTCTTCAAACAGGAGCCTCTTGGCTAACTTGCTAAAGTCACTGTCTGGTCTCCCATGTACATCTGCCATCTGCCAAGGTAATGTGAGGTAGCTGTACTGTTGCAGACAGACATTGGTCAGTGAGTGTTTTTTTAGGAAATAGAAGGTTTGAAATAGTTACTTGGGAAACCGTAGGAACATGAATATGGTTGAGTGGTTGTCAAGTCACCTCGGAAATTAAGTAGAGTTGGATCTGAAGAGAGCAGTGGACTATTGTCTCCTTTTCTGGGAGAGCAGGATTTGGTAACAGCAAGATGTGAACATCATAAGGATATCGGACATTCAAGAAGGAAGTAGCTCCACACTGAATGAGATGTTCAGTGTGAATGATGTGTCTCCATCATAGTATTCTTTACAAATGGAATTCATTGGGTTTCACACTGATGTCCCTTTACAGCAGATTGTGCTCATTCACATTCAGATATGTTTGCAGAGGCAGTTTTACTCCGTGTTTGTGAAGAGTGTCTTTTTATCTAATTATCCACCCATGCTTCTGTGAAATTTCTGTCACTGACCAACATCCCAGTGCACACAGACATTTAGGTAGATGATGCTTGTCCCAGTTGTTGGATCCACTATCTGCTCACTGATCAGAGACGCTGAACATTTGTGCTCTGCAGCTGTTTTGCTTTTAACAGAGCTCTTTGAAATCAGGTTCAGCAATAATTGACTGGCATCAGCAAGAAAGAAAGAAAAATTTACAAGAATAAGCACAGAAGAGAGATAAAGAAGAGAGAGCAGGAGAAACAAGACAGAAAAAGATTTTATTTGTCCATATTTTTTAGGAAAGTAAAACCTTTTCAGTACAAACTGTAACCTAAAACCAGTTGTTAGTTTATTTCCATTGACCTGAGACTAACCTGAGAGCCAGGTGCTGTTCTGATCCTTCAAATGCTTTTTCTGGCTTCAGTAATTTAGTTTAACTTGTTTGAAATATCAGATGCTGTTCCTCTTGACTTCAGCTTGATTCATTCAGTTTAGTTGTGAGTTAAGTCTCAAGTGGCTTTTGCTGATGGTTCACTGTTGGTATATCAAAACAATCTTATGTATTGATGAATAAAAACTGCAGACAATAAAAAGTTGAAAAAATGTAAAGTCCATAAGACATATTAAACAAAAAAACCCACTCATCTTTCTGAGACAGGCCATTCTCTAGAACTTTTAAACGTATCAGTCAAATGTCCGACCATCTGCTGCTATCAAACTTAGTCCAAATTTTGGGCAGAGGCTTAAATATGACTTGTCAGTCCAGAGGAAATCTGACTAGTTATTGGGATTTATTAATATAAATTCCTTAAATTCTCCATAGATTACAGGAAATATCTTCCTTACTTTGTTTTTGAGGCTTGATCAAAACAAATGGGAATCCAGTTCTTCAACTACCGGGCGACATTTTGTATTATTTCATTAAAATACTTTGCAGCAAAAATAAACACTTTAATTAAAAAGTCACTTATCAAATAAAGTTTTATTCTAATTACTTCGTTTGCTTTATTTCTGCTTTGATCTTAACTTCTCCAGAAGTAACCTCCAAACTGAGCCTCTTTTCTTCAATTTATTTGGTAATAATCTGGTAACATTAATCCTAAAGGTAACTTGGAAATGGTTGGTTATAGAAAAGCAAAGTCTGATCTTGCATTAATTGCATGCCAAAAAGAGTTAGGAAAAGCATTCAGAACACAGATTTAAAGTTGATCCTAAACTGTTCTAGTCTCCAAGGTTTAGGCCTGAAATATGGTGACATCACTACTTTGCTGTTTGAAATATTGGGACAAGCAAATCGATGCCATCCCATTAAGGGTGAAGAAGCAGAAGCTGAAATGGTTGGGAAGCCTTCATAGGGAGCGCAGCTCTGATGTGATTTGATTGCTTTTATCCTTTTTCAGGATAAAACTCAAATTACAGCAGAGGGAATGAAGGAAGTGGAAGATGGAGGAGAAAGCGGAGGGCGGTTCCAACAGCTTCCTCCTTCAAAATTGAGCAGCTGTGCTCCTGAATGTTTACTGACTGATGCTCATTAAAAGTTGGACCACAGAGGAAAGAAATGACTAACACCTGCTTCTTTCTCCTCCTCTCGTCCTCTTTCTGCTGCCTCCTGCTCTTCCTCCTCCTCAACAACCATTTTTTTCTGCATCTTCAAACGTTCTCTAGCATCATCTGTCAGTTGACTCGAAATCTAAGGGTACCCTCCTGTTTTCTTGCCCTCTCTTTTCGATGGTGATGAAGAACTGATTGTGATTAATGTGTGACGGATGCTTTTTATCACAATTAAACACATCAGGAAAATGTCATTAACAGATAAAATACGATGGAATTCTGTCTTTTCAGATTGCAGCTCAAAAGAGAAACTTGAAGAACTACCATTACATCCTGGCCAACTTGGTGAGTCAGAGTTTCTAAACAGCCATTGATGAATATAAACCAGTAGACTGACTGTTAGTGTAAGGGTGAAGAAAATTGGTTTCCAGTGAGGGGGAAATTGTTTCCAGTTTAAGTGACAGAGGATTGTTAGTGAAGATAAATTTTTATTTTGGCATTTGGCATTTCTACCATTAAGATGAATAAAATGTACTAAATATTCTGATTGTGGGGGAAAAAATGAAGAATGAGAAGGTGAACAGATGTGCTTTTTTCCCAACTGTTAAGAGACGAAGTGTCAATAGATCAAGACCAATATCCAAAGAGTTTATGCAATATACATATATAAAAGAAATAAATTACTTTTTTAAAAAGGTTATATCGGCTCTAGTGGCCTTTATTTGATAGTTAATTGACAGGAAATGCTCAAGCTTTATTTGCTACTGTTGACAGGCTCATAAACCCTCCTATGATGTTACCACCTGAACTTCAATCTAATGCCTGCAACAAGTTTTCCAGTTTCTTTTCAGAGAAAATTCAAAAGATCAGAGGATTAA